CCACACGGGAATCGATCAGTGGGTTGGTGTTTATCTTTGTTAGATTCCCTGTTACTTTCCTTGTTGCCTTCTTCTACCATCTGCTATCTGCAAGGGGGAAAATGTTGGGTTTTTTCACTGAAGGTTCCTAATCAGCGTAGTGTCACACTCAAACTGGATCATCCAAATTGTCATCGAACACCCAACCATTGTAATAAGAATCTACGATGAACCAAGTGCCCGGGGCATCCTCAACTTCCACAAGCATGTTGGGATGGAGTTTCTGTATCTTTGACTGTTTCAGAAACTTTGGGCAATTCGGATCAGTTCCCATATGGCCGCGTTCCCTGCATCGGAAACATATCGGATATGTTTTAGTGGACACCTTAATTTCTAGTATTCTGCTTTCGATCTGGAATTTCCACGTCTATGGAAAAATAGGGGGATCATTTGCCTTGACTTCCAGTAAGACCGCCATGGATCCACAGTGAGGTGCCAGAAACTCTGGAGTTGGCAGAATCCATATGAAAATTTTGTTTGCTGGATACTGCCTTTCCAGTCTGTCTACGAACAGACCATGGAATCCCGGTTGAATATTGTGGAATTGGACCAGAAATGTTATGTCATCAGTGTTTGCTTGTATGAAACTGTGGAAGTCGAATTTTGTCTCGCTGCAGTCAGTTTTTTCCATATGGTTATCGTGCAGATCAATCCGTTGATCCTGGACTACATGTCTGCTGCAGTCCGTCGATGATCTTCATGGTTGAAGACCATCATGATATTGTTTCGGCCCAAATTCTGCAGAGAAAGAGCGTCCTTAATATGTTTGAGTTTTGCCTCCTTTTTTATTGTCTCTATAATCCACGTTCTCTTCACCGGCACGAGATCTGCTCCATTGTGTGCAAAATTGAAGACCACAGCATGCCTCTCGTGGAGATCATCCAGTCCAGACACTTTCCCATCAGGGTACTTCCATATAATCACTTCTTCTGCTTTTCCTTCTATTTTCTGTTTTTCTATGATTGGTTCATCTTCAACTTTTGTTTTCTCGATAAAAAAATTGAGTGCGTCGTTAATCTATAATGTTAAATGTTGCCTTGTCCGTTTGTGGATTGCGGTACGTCAAGGTGGCATTCTGAACAGCTTGTTTGAAGGAGGCTGCGGCACGGTCTGTAGTTGGACTGCGCCATGCTTGCTGTTTTGGTACAGGAAGGTCTGTTGACCCTCCTTGCCTCTCTCTAGGTGCTATTCGCTCAGTTGAGAGACTAGGCCTTGTTGTTGTTGAAAGATGTGAGGAGAGGAGAGGAGAGGAGAGTCTGTAGGAGGCGTATACAAATGAGATGTGGGCAGTAGGGGAAGGTAGTAGGGGGATGAACCAGAGGGGAGCGGGGGGAGGGGGGTGGGGATGCGATTAGCAGGCTGGGAGCCGTGGTGAGAGTAAGCAGGGGGGAGGTTGGGTTATTGACAGCGTTAAAGAAGAGGGGTGGGAGAGCGCTGATGCACACGTATAGGCGCTGGCGTTTTATTTTATTTTATTACTATTTATTTATTTATTTAATTATTTAATATCTACGAGCCGATATATCGTATGCCATTATGTGCTATGGGCATGGGGGCAAAAGACGGCTATGGCTGTGGATGGTAGGGGAGTAGAGGGGGGAGTGGAGGAGAGATGGGTATTAGGGCTATGGTGGGCTATGGAAGGGGAATATGGCTAGGGGGAGTGGGCTATTGGAATCGCACCGGATGGGATTGAGAAGTGGGAGGGGTGTAGATATCATGGGGTAGATAGACTATCAATTAGTGGTAGGGGATATGGGTAGTGGAATGTCAGAAAAAGAGGGAAGGATGTATGTTTTGTCTCACGTAAGAGTGACGAAACCCAGCTCGTGTCTTCTCTTTGCCTGCTGTAGTGCTCACATTCACCCTGAATAGACGTATTTACAAACGTAGTTGAAGATTTGTCCCTGCCTTGAGGAGACTTGATTTTGTCACCCTGGTGTCAGTTGACATGTAGAGGACCTTGCAGGGGTCGTACTGCGCCTTTTCCGTAATTGGAAAGGCAGTTAGGTCGTTTGGAACTTTTTGTCCTTTTGTTGACAAGTAGAGCCGAATCTTAGGACTCCACGATTCTCTTCCTTAACTCTCTCCTGTCGCTTCTCAACTGTTGTTCGCCGAGCCCAAGGAAATCTTGCTGTCTCGTAGCTTGTTGTAGTCCTACCTCCGTAATCTCCTGTAGCCTTCAAATCTTCCCCTAGCTTCACCTAGCTTCGACTCGTAGAGCATTCTACACCCCAACGATGCAATCCCACCACTTGTTCGATGAAATGGACGATTGGTAGTGACTTCCACTCGATCTAGGATGCCTTGCTTGAAAATGCGAAGCTTCACCTAGCTTCGACTCGTAGAGGATTCCACAACCCAACGGTGCAATCCCACCGTTTATCCAATGACAAGCTGGATAGCTACTTCTGCTCGATTTCGGATGCTTTGCCTGGATACAAGATCTCCATGCAGCTAGGCGGCGAACGCCTAGGCAGCGCCCCCTATCATGTGGCCCAACTCCGCACATACGTACGCAGAGAGCTGGGCGCACGGCTCGCGGCATTGCACGACATGACGACTTGGCGTGAAAATTAGTGTTGAGTTGCGCTAACCGACGACGCGTTCGCTCCCTCTCTCTGCCACAATTTTTACTGCAGCTGTTTCTACCGCTGCTGCAGTTTGCCCTGCTGCAGCTTTCACGGCAGCAGTTTCCACTGCTGGAAGTCCCCCTACTGTAGTTTTTGCTGCTATGGCTTCCTTTGCCGCCACTGCTACCGTTTGCTCTGCTGCAGCTTTCACGGCGGCAGTTTCCACTGCTGGAATTCCCCCTACTTTTTTGTTGCTACAGCTTCCTCTCCTGCAGTTCCAGTGCAAAGAACATCACCGTCTCTCTTAACTCACGTCCTTCATTTCAAACTCCTGCCCAATCGAACCCCCTCTCATCTCTATCTGCGTTTGGCCGCAGACGGCTGCGGTCATCATCGCCAGCCCCATCTCTTCCGTGGTCTCGCTTGCGAACAGATTCTTCTCGTCCTATCGTTCCCATTACTCTTTCCTTGTTGTCGGAGGCATGCTCATCTCCAGTTTGCCACACCACTACTTTTATTGTGTATCGTCGATGTCGTTGCACCACATCATCACTCATCCGGGGATCAGCAGCTTGTTTGTTTTTTTGCCCCAAATCGGTGTTGGCCCTTCGTTCTAAACAACAATATCTGCTCTATGCCCCCTGCAGACAATCTGACTTCTTGACAGCAGCCAGGAGACGTTGTTTTATGCCCTGCAGCATCTAATATTCACGAATTAACTGCAGAATAGGGCACCTCACTCAGGATGCGGCCCCAAATGTTATGGGATTAGAACATGATTTGCACAAACTGCAAATTACTCCACAAGGCGTAGACCATCTGGGTGATCTGCAAAAGGCTGACCACCATCATTTGGCTGAACCACAAATTTGTGCCCCACGAAATGTAGACCACATGCATGATCTGCAAATGACTGACCAGCAAACAACCCAGGACATTTTGGGCTTGCAACACCATCTGGGTGATCCGCAAATTGTTCGCAGGCATCCGGCACCCCAGCCTAAGATCCCCTCCAATCTCTGTGGTCTGGCTGCAACTAATATGTGTCTGCAGGTTCTCCACTGCGTGCATTATACAGCGCCATACTTTCTTGCAATTGCTCTTCAGCTTGATGTTGATCTTCCCTGCCTACACGCAGAGGATTGTAACTACACCAGGGAAGGCCTTACAATTGCGGTCCTTCAGGTAGCAACGAGGGACAACCAACTTGACCTGCTTCAGTGAGGGATAACCAACTTGACCATGCAATGCTGAAGCAGGTGAGTGGTTTCATCCACCGTCTCACATCTCTACCTGCACTGTACACGGACTTACATGCGTCTGACCACTGGGAGTTGTGGTGCAACGGCACCATGGTCCATGCCATGATAAATGTTGCTGAATTTTACAGAACGATGCTGTTTTCTTGCCACACCAAAGCGTCCACACACTCTACTATGACGAAGATCATTTCTCCGCCCGTGCTGCAGCAGGACAATTTATCAACACTCTTTGACCTTCTCCTTTGCACAGCTACAAACACTGTTACACTTGGCTGTGACCGTCATCGTCTTTGTCACATTTACTACAATAACATGGATTCTGGATCCATGTGTCCAGAGGATTGTTCCTCCTTTCTTGAGTGCAGGCACCCTCCGCACCAGACACTATATGCTCATTTTGCGGCCATGGTGTTATATTGAATGTACGCTCTTTTGTGGTGCCCGTTCTGCCTCCATGTTGGCCGGCAATCGACATGCCATTTGTTGACTGCAGGCACCCTCCGCATCCGGACACTATATGTCCATTTTGCAGCCATGGGGGTTATATTGAACGTACGGTCTTTTGTAGTGCCCGTTCTCCTTCATGTTGGCCTGCAATCGATATGCCATCTGTTCGGTGTGTTTCATCAGCATGCTCAATGCCATCCATCATGGCAATTGTTGTACTCAGAATGTGCACCTAGGTCTTCCATGACCTTATCCGTGTCATCCTCACAATGTATGTCCTCTCTGTCATCAACAACAGACTGATTCTTGAGCCTTCTTTTTGTCTTTTCCAGTGCTTTCATCTTGATTCCACTCCTACCGTCCCCTTATTCGCTGTTGTTTTTCTTTGCTTTCGCTTTCTCTTCGTTTGCCGTCTTCTTTTTGTATTTTCTCTCTGTTTATGCCCTCCCTGTAATATGCTGTGCGTCTTTTTCACAGCGTACAAGACAGCAGTTATGGCACATGGGGATGTGTGGAGCTTGTGCTCAACTTCATCAATGTAGCAAGCCTTGTACGTGAGAGGCACAGTTAAAGGGGACCTTGAAGAAGAAATTATCAAAAGAATGGTTTCAGTGTGCTCTTCATGTTTGTTTGGTGTATTTTTATCATTTATTTAGCAAAGTGCGCTCGTTTCGTGATGTAACAAGGCATGATTTTGTTTCTCTTTTGATGATGTGGAATGACAAAGTCGACCCTTAGGTTCCACATGCATCCTCTGGACAGCTACAATGTTCATGCAATCTTAAGCCAGAGCTGCGGTGCATTCTTAAGCCAGAAGTAAATGACAGTTTTGCACTTTTAAACCACCACCACCTTTCAGAGTGGAAAGCTAGGTCGTAAATATAACCCTTATTAAGGTGGCCGGCATTTGGCTCAGACCGAACGCCCAAACGTTCGTGAACCCTTGGGCACATGGTCAGCCTGAAAGGCCCTGAATGCGAACGTTTTTTTTTAGTTTTTTTTTTCGTGAAGTTGTTGCGGAGGGGGGGTTCTATACATTGCATATTTTTCCATAAAAAATAAAAACAAAAAAAGTGGGGAGGCAGTTTGCCTGCCGAATGGCAAGAACCCCTCCTGCCATGTGTATGTGTGGGTGTGGGTGTGGGTGTGGGTGTGTGTGTGTGCGGGGCCTGTCTCTTATACACATCTAGATGTGTATAAGAGACAGCAACGAGTGTCGACTTGGAACTGTACTCACTATCAGGAGGTCGATAGTTCGAGCCTGGTGGCACCAAACAAGGCCGTATGAGCGAGACCTTTCCGTTACATCGCCGGCCCAACCTCGTGAGAAAGACTTTGATACTTTGTATGCAGCTACATCAGCGGGTTCCTATGGAGTTTAACGTGCGATGCGGGAACTGTGGAGGTGAACTAAGATGGGCCTGTGTGATAGGCCAGTGCCATCAGGATTATTCCCTTCAAAATGGTGATGAAGAGGTATCGATAGAGAAAGGCACTGTAGAATAGGGGGACACTGAAAAGTGTGAGGAAAACGTAAGTCAGGTGGAGAACAGCGAAAAGGTTGAACATTGTGGAGATCGTCACGAAGCTCAACAAGAGGGTCTTCAACATCGACATATCGGTGGGGAGGAAAGCGGTAATGGTGAGATTGAGAAAGTTGGAGATGGAGCAGACACTTATAAAAAAAATGATGTCGATTGGAGGATTAGAGAGGGTAATTTGTACAGTTCACAGGGTGAAACAGTCAGCACTGAGAGCAGCAATGGCGAAATTAATGATCATGCGCATAGAAGCAAGATCATGGGGCAAGACCGGGTGACTTCAGACAAAATCGTTTGGCAAGATTGGGTGGCTTGAAACAGGCAGGGGAGGCGACGAGATTGGAGAATTCCTTGGTTAAAAGAGAGAGAGAGAGAGAGAGAGAGAGAGAGAGAGAGAGAGAGAGAGAGAGAGAGAGAGAGGCCCCTGCCCACCTTGAACTGTTTTGAACTTTTGAATCAAGAAGCTTCAATGGCCACCGTGTTTTATGTAGCTCGCATTTCAGGGAGTATACTGTAGTGTGCTCTTTGATCCCCACCTAATGATCTGACCTGAACTAATCTGGCAGTTCAATCTCTGGAAGTACACACAGGCTAGGGTAGAACTAAGTATCTGGCGCCCTGATAGGTGAAGAAATCTGTGTGGTCTAGCCAGGTGGGCTGCATGAACAACCTTGAATTTTCGTTTCGGACTAATATCTGTTGTTGTTATGAGGGACGCTAGACCAGATTTCCAGCAGGTGCAGCTCTGTTGTTGTCATGAGGAACGCCGGACCCGATTTCTTGCAGGTGCAGCTCCCTGCGAATAGATCGGAGCCATAGACCTCTTGAAAAAAAAAAATAATAAATCGAATTTGGTTGGGTATTCCAACGTGACTCCCAGGTAAAAGTTGTTTGTATTATTGTTTTACATAACATACAATTTTTTTTTAGATTTTTCTGTTTTTTTTTTTTTTTTT